AACAGACAAATCTACTTTCATGGAATTAATTGCTCAGAGTGTACATCGGCGGGTAAGAATATAAAATCTGTTATCCCTAATTCACAAATTAGTGAACTTCCTCCATTATCAGAACCAAATGAAGAACTTGATTTAGACTTCGCGGGTCCTTTGGATTCTTATTGGGGGTCAAATAAATACATTTTACTTTGTATTGACAGATTTTCTAAATTTCCGTCGGCAAAAATTACATCATCTACCTCTTCAAAAACAGTTATAGAGTTTTTACAAGACTACATATTCTTACACGGTATACCTTATTCTATAAGGGTGGATCATGCTACTTGCTTTACAAGTCAAGACTTCAAATCATTCTGCGATTCTAACAACATCAAAATAATCTTTTGTACAGTAGGCGATCACCGATCCAATGGATTAGTCGAAAAACTCGTACACACTGTAAAAGTCAAACTACTGGCTATCTCCAAATAACATCATAAAACCACGTTACAAAATGCCGTTTCAAAAATCATTTGGAACCTACGTTCTACTTTCCAATCAAAAATTAAATGCTCACCTTTCGAGATCCACTATAACAGAAAACCAAATACTATTTGGAAACAATTAGCTTCGGGTAAACCTTCCTTTGGAATTTTAGACAAAGGGAAATCAATACTGTCTAAGGATCGAGCTAAGGATTGGAACGCGGATGATAGAATCGAGGACGGATACAAGGACGATCTGATTGCGAAGAAGAACCAAAATCCGACTGAAAAAGGCTACGATACAGACTATGACTCATCCTCGAAAACGACTCAAAACAGAAGACCAATCGAAAGCCCTTTTAAAGGTAAAATCCTTCGGAAAACTAATGGTAATATCAACCGAGACTGTTTTTATAAAGAACTAAACAAAAGAATTATAAATTCTTCGACTTCGACAGTTAAGTTATCCGACGGAAAAATAATACGAAAATCCGACATTGCGATTCCTATCTCTACCTCAAATAAAATCAGACCTTTTAGAGGAAACATTTCATTCCCTTACTTTTCTAACCCTAATGTTGAAGTAGGTCAAAAACTGGAATGCTCAAAAAGAAAACCAAAACCCAAGAAGCCAACAAAAAGAAGGAACAGACAATTAGACCCGACATCATCTGACAACCTAACTAGGACACGCATTTCTGGACCATCATCCATCCCGACAAGAAGACAGACACGACGCTCAAAGAAGTCACCAACTCCTCCAGGTTACCTTTCTTCGGATGAATCTATGCTAATTCCTTCGGATATTTCGGATACTAGCGAATGGGAATGGATAGCGGGCGGTTTTCCTTGTAGAGACGTAGCCAGAGAGCGCTTTATTTCGGATTCACTTACACCTCACATATCACTCGGAAATAACTTTAACTCTTCTATTACCAATCCTGAAATAAAATCTGAGATTTTAGAAAACAACAGTTTCCCAATCAGTGAACAACCCATGGATCAATCATACGAGTGCCCAATAAGTATAGTGCCAGCCAGCCGAACATCTAACTCGACGGATCAGAGAACCGTGAATCAGGGAGGGGAAAATGACACCATTGGACAAAACGACCCACAAGTGGAGCATAATCTGACGGAAACCGACTCAAACATAAACTTTCCGGTGTATGAGATAAGCGACTCAACGGATGAGTGCGCTATATCCAACAGTCCTGCCATAATACCCGGTAAAATTCCTACTACTATTCGCCGCTCTAGTAGAAACGTCGGCCCACCAAAATTTTATGGTAAACGTTACTTCATTCATGCCGTAGAGAGTGTCCAAGAAGCCTCTGGTTCGGCGGCCGAGCCTATTGTGTTAGAGATTGAGGAACCACATGAGACTATCAACAGGACGAATCCGGCGGAGTTAATTGTTCTAGATTCAGATTCATCATCTTCATCAGATCAAATGTCAAACTCATCAACCGACGAATCACTGAGAATGGAAATAGCAAATTTCGGCGAACACTCTGATCTTGATAGTGAACTTTTCAACACCGAACTTGAAAACTTTTTAAAAGATTATAAAACTTTATAACCACTTAGATATACTTTAATCTGATATTCCGGCTTACCAAATAACACACATTACTGAGTAAACCGGTGCTAACATTCAGATATTAACATCTGCTCACTAAATTTGAGAACTTAATCCTGCGGATAAATTTTCATGTAGAAGACATTTTCAAGTGTCCTCCTAATTTCCTTAATTCGCCTACACTCCAGTTTGTGTTTTACAAACCAAGACCACCTCCATCAAAATTTTGTGCTATCTAGGTATTTTACCTTGTAAACCGGTGCTAATTTTCCAGTTACCAAAAAGTGTTTGCTAAATTTGACAACTTTATCCTTCGGATAAATTTCACCCGTCATAAGAAATTATCATCTGTTGCTCCCATAATTTCTTTAAAACATATCCTCTTCACTCGCGCATTATAAACTATGACCTCACTCATAAAACGTGGTTTTAAATTTCATCGTTATGCCAAAACGTGATGCCTTACCTCATCTTAACATAACCCTTATCTATCGGAATCTGGATAATCTTTGTTCTTTCATTTAACACTAGTGGAGCTTACTTAGTGCTAGTACCTCATCTCAAAGCGCTTTAATTTTCTTTCCTAGTCCTTAAAGGGGGAGAAAGGAGTCAGTCATAGTTAGTTATTGTGCATTACTTATTGCAATTTAAATTTTTTTCCTGCTTAGGGGAATGTTGTGATTTTACATCAGGTTTTGCAATTATTGCTAAACATACTTATTTAATTAACCGGTCACTTAGTTATGACCTTCACTAGCCATTCTCTCCGGCGGAGAGAATGATCTCTCATTGTTTTAATGTTTTAACTTACCGACTAATTCATCTTATTTCTTATTCTTTTTAATAGTTTTAATTTAGAATTAGCTACAACAAAGTAACATTTTATCAATTTACAAGTTTGACTGCGCCGTAAGCCAAAATCGCTTGGCAGAAAAAAACATTAATAAAAAAATCTAATAAAAATTTTTTGAAGTTTATAACTTTTTGAGAATCCAGACGATTTATAACACTATGACTGATTGAAATATAAACTGGAACGAAAATTGAGATGTTGAGTTTGCTGAACCTGCGCCTTTAGACCACTCTTGCACGTATTGCAATTCGAGAGATCAAAACCCTCTTTGTTTTTTATTTAAAAAATTCTTTATGCTTTCATTTCGGAAGAAACGTCCAAGTCTTGATATCAATTTCCCATTTTGTTGCAAAAAACGGCAACTCCTTACAAGGCAATTTATTTAAAATAGCTGTACATTGGTAGGAATCTTCTAATTAAATACCAACGGGATAAAATCTTTCTATAAAAAATCCAAATTCTTCACAATAAAAAGTTTTCTGTGTTTTAAATTTTTTTTTTGCAGACATGTGAAACTTATTGAAGAAGCGTATCAATACCCAATTCTCTCAGAAATTAAAACCTCAAATCCAATTTCCTTGGTCTTGCCCTCATACTTTCTCTCACTTTCAAAGAAAACAAAGGATTAACACACGACTGACAAGGGCGAAATATTTTGTACAGTGAAAGTTATTGATGCCCTGAACTCAAAGTAAGAGAAACAATACATCTGTCATTTTTTTTCAAAAAACGTAATTTGGCTAACAGGGGATAATTAATGCTCACCAGTTGCCAATGTTTTTTGAAGCGTATCTAGATGAAAAATGTATCACTCTTGAAATTCTACGTTGGTTCCGATTTGCACAAAAAGAGTTTCAATACCAAAAACTTCACGATATAATTGTTTACTATTTTTTGCGCCAAAGTCACCTTCAGATACAATAATGGGCAGTTGCTTTGACCTAATACAAGCAACCTTGTTACAAAAAGTAATGTTTCTTCAAGTTACGCTATCAACTATCACTCACTGTCACTCAATCTAAATTGAAGAGCGAGCCAGTCCAGTAAGTAGACAATCTCCATTTCATACCCGCCAGTCAGCAGAGTAACTGGACGGTATTCAACAGAATGGGTGAAGAAGTTTGAAAATATTCTGAGCGTTTGAAAGAGGTGAATTGAAACGCTCATTCAAAATAATAACTTATTACATAATAACATTTTTTGAACCAATTTTTCAAATTTATGAAAACTTAAATCGTTTAAAAAAGCTCGGGGTTAGTTTTGACTGTTTTTGCTACGTAGAAATTGGAAAAATGTCTAATGGCCTTATAGATTTTGTTTACTTGCCGCTATCTAACCCTATTTTAAACAAAACTGAAAGGCTTTTACTTGAACCGAATAATTGAAAGCGTCTTTCAAAAAGAATGGTTTCTGTAATGGTTTCTACTTATCAATTGGATCTATGATAGATGAATTCCACATATCGATTGCAGGTCAAAAATTCAGTTTGACAAAAATAATGCAAACAGGTCAAAAGATTTTTTTTCGGATGCGATTTCAACTTATTTAACTTATGAATACTTAACAGTTTTTAGATTGGTAGAAGTAATTTTCTAGGGTCTTTTAAAAAAACGAACTTTTACAAAAAGTTCGCACCAATAAGAATTTCGGCGCTTAATTGAATGAGACAGGAAATATAAACCGATTCTATGTTAGGGAAATCATTATACCAGTTTTTTGCCGTTTATTTCATGTATATTTGGCCAACTAAATAATTTTATTGTTTTTTAAACAAAGTTTCAAGTGAATTCAGCGGCCTCGTAATTCACAGTGATTTAACGGCTCCCAAAAAAATTGATTTTAATTACAGTTATTTAATAGCAGCTTTCAATAAATTTACCTCATAATTTTTAATTTTATAAACAGCATGCTTGACTAAAAGTTTGTCAAATTTTTTTTTCTCCAAAGCTGACTCGAATTTTAAAACTTTTAATATATCTTAGTAAAAATTTAGCAATCAATGGGACAACTGCAGTTTGAAAAATTTATCTGTGAAACAATTTGGTGTTCGAACGTCGTTATTTATTACTCTGACAAACCATGTTTGCATTGTATAGTGAACCATTTTGAATGATTTTATCTCTACTTACTACAGCAGTGCTACGCTCTAAAGAGTTTAAGCTCTAAAGAAAATATCAGTTATAAAACTCAGTATTCAACACGCTTCGGGTCATTAGCTTCAAACCACCTAAAGAAAAAGGCTTGAGATATTTGGTTGTAGGTCTAGTCTGACACATTGAGTGAAATGGAACCGTCTGGCGATCAGCCCAATTCTTCACAAACCCAACCAAACCAGGTGCGACATTTTAATTTTTCTCAACATTTTTGCTCGATTTTTATGTAGAAACAAAGAAACATATCGAAACTAAAACTCTGTACTTTCTTTATGAACAAATAAAGAAAATTAGTACCAAATGTATGAAGAAAAATTATGAACAATCTAGACTTCTATTTGGACTTTGAAAAAAGAGCGAACTATCTTTTAAAAATGAACAATCTAGACGTCTATTTTCTATTTGAACTTTGAAAAAACGAATTTGATTTTTGAGATGGAACAGTTTTGGCTGTGCCGCATGTAGGTTCGAATAATCCAGTGGGGTTCATGGCGCACTCTCAGCTCCCTCTTCATGCGTTGTCTCATGAACGCCCCTAACTCAGTCACCTTCTGCGAACTATTCGGACTCCCCTGGTACTACGGAGTAGAAGCCAAAACATCCAGAACTCTCATCCCCATAGACCTCCCGCATGACAGCACTACTTTTGCACGGGTGAAGGAGAAGTATGAGAATGCTTATGATGATAAGAAACTGGTGTTTGGAAAGGAGTTCGCATTTTATGTTTCGCCGCAGCAAAACTATAAATATATACCACGTGGCTATAGGCAGTCATTTCTTATCAGGTAAACACTTTGTTCCAACTTTTTCTGAAGAGCGCTTTCGAAGAAGAAAATCTATAATGAAATAATAAAAAATCGACAGTTAAGATATTCTTATGCCCTTTTTCGTTGAAAACAGTTTTGAAATCATCAAATTAAATCAATAACTGTTATTTTAGACATCCATACAAAACAGTAACATCTCTTAATAAAGTCATGATGAAACAAAAAGATCCAGGCTTTAACTGCTTCCTGGACGAAGACGTCAGATTTGAAGATATCTGGAACCTCTACCTTTACACCCTCGAGTATCTGGATGCAGACGCAATCATAATCGATGCTGACGATTTAGTCAGGGATCCTGAAACTGTACTCCGCGGTTATTGCCAGCATTACGGAATAGAATACAAAGATACATTTATAAATTGGGATAGTAGCACTTTGAACGAAGACATGTTAGTATACGGGGAGTCCTGGTTTGAGGAATTGCTCAGTTCGTCCACCGTCAGGACGGATCCATACGTCAAGAATCTTCTAGAAGATCCACCAGATATTTCTGAATTGTCACAAGAAATGCAGAAGTCAATCGAATCAAACTTAGTGTTTTATCGAAAACTTTTTGACAAACGATCAAAGTTTTAAATTGTACTCGGTTTTTACAATCATTTAAAACAGTTACTGCTACGCCATTCGGTATATCTGTCTGTTCATTTATATATTTTTAAAAAAGCTGGAGTGTTTATGGAGCGTTTTTTCCACTGCTTTTAGAATCCTCAAACAAACGTCGCTCATGCATCAAGTATGCTAATGGTTGAACCTTAAAAAAGCTAACTTAAATTTGCCCTTTTTAGTAGCAAAAGGTCACGAGTTGGCGCATTTTTTAACGAATAAGAATTCTTTGACTGCTGAACTTCCATTTATTAAAGGTAGGGGTGATCTAATATTCACAACTGCAACTCGGGTCCAGGTCGTGGTTTTATGTTGGGATGGTGCTGGCAAAAAGTTGATATCGTCTGACCACGGGGAAAAGTTTGGTTTCCTCAGACGTGTTGACTATACTTAGCAACTTTGATACCGTGGGGTCCACAGTACATAATCTGGTATGTTCAGTTTAGTCCGTAAATGAAAGTTAAAATTATAGGTACTTTGTTCAGTCTATCGCATACATTTTCGAACATTTTCGAATGATTAAAGCAAACCATATACCCGAAAATCGTCAGCTTTTTGATGACTTTTCATTGTTCATTACACCATCGGATTTAGGGGACGGATGCCCCCCTCATGAATTTGAACCCTGCCGACCCAATAAGTCCACCCTTTGTACTATTTTCAGATATACATTTTTTGTGACGGACCCGAAAATTTTTTTAAGGTGCCTTCGGCGCCGATATATATTTCTTTTGAGAGGGGAGCGCGCGCCGAGAAAACGCAACTTTTTGGTCAAAATTTTCCAAAAAGCGCCTAAAACGCTTTTTTTGTAGTGTTGTTTTTTTAATTTGCCTGCGGCGCAAAAATTTGGTCAAAATGGGTGTCTTCATAGTGATTTATTTGTGAGAGCTCAGAAAACCTAATTGGTTGAGCTAAAAAAAAAGGCGACAAAAATTTTGAATTTTTTAAAAATCCTCCGCCCCTCGAGAAAATCATAGATCCGCCCCTGGTTCATTAACAAACTTTCGAACTAATTTCACTGATTTCACACCTATTCTCTGGAAAGCATCGACTTTAAAATGTCGCCAATTTAATATCAAGACAAAACTAAATGTTTTATTACGCTCATACGCGAGTTTAGGAGGACTTCTGCAAACTCATTAAAGAATAAAACAGTGCAATTTCATTCATTTTTGCGTCATTTCTATTACATTTACACTTTTTAGTGATTGACTACTACTTTTTTTACCAAAATTAATTTCAACACTTTTCAAAACTGATTCGTTTTTCAAGGCTTCTGTTCTATAATGCTTAAACATTTCTATGGTCAGAGGTTGATCATGAAGCTTGCAGTTAGTACCCGGGTTAACCTCCATAAACCAAAAATGCTTATTATACAAACCCATAGACAGAAAAATGCTTATCAAAAAATTCCATACATCAAATAAATGGAAAAATGCTAATCATACAGTTTTCATACAATTTTAAAAAATCATTGAAAAAAGATTCGAACCAGTTTCGACGGCTATTTGAACAAGCAGTCTGGTGATGAAAAAAAACTGTGTTTCTTTTTTTTTGGAAAAAAATGGATATCGTACAATTTACATATATGAAAACTGTATGAGTATAAAAAATTTTGAAGTCGATAACAAAATTTTTTTCAAAAGCATTATTGAAATTGCCCGAAAACTTTTTTTTCAACCGCAAATCCAACTATGCACTCAAACTAAAATTTTCCAAAAAAAACATTTTTAATTTTTTGTCTGCATAACGTATCCTGTATACACAAAAATTGGATTTTTTTCCGTTTTTTTTGGATAATTTTTTTCAAACAGGCTGAAAACTCCTATTTTTTGTATGGCATGTTCAAATATGACTTGATCAATGTCTGATAATTTAAAAATTCTAACTTTAAAAAATTATCATTTTTCAAATTTTTGCCAAAATCTAAAAGTTTGATGCTTTCAGCTTACGATTTGTGAAGAGAACTGTTACACAGTTCAGGTCGTTTCCAATGCATTGTAAATGCCAGACGATCAACCCTTTGGTGACTCGACTCTAGTTTTGAGTGAACCATAATTTTAGTCACTTTTGTTCGGTCTCGAACCTATCCCAAAATTTTGAGAAATAGAGTCTAAAAAAATCAACTTTTTGCTTTATGAAAAAACGCTTGTCCTACAATTTCCATATGTGAAAAATGCCTATCTTAAAATTTTTAAACATTTTATGTATCTATGGAGTTGTACGAAATTGTATGACAAGCCTTTTTCATATATGAAATTTGAAAGATAAGCGTTTTTGGTCAACCCGGGTATTTCATGAAATTTGAAAAATAGTTAATCAGTTGCAAGATCACAATTCTTGTTTTCAAGTAATTGGCAATTATTTTGTATGGATTCTTTTTACGTCTGTCTCATTCGTTATTACTTTGACTTTGTCTTTGTCTTTTGAAATCTTATAAAACAATCTTGTTTTATGGCACAAGATCTCTCGCCAACTTCCGTTCTCCCTCGTATCATAAACTAAATGACATTGATGTTTTCACGATTTTAGCAATTCCGATGATGTGAAAAACTAGGTCAAAGCAGGATTTTTTTCGTATTTTTTCTATGTTTTTGCATGATTCTAAAATCTACATTTTGAATGGTTCTAACTATGAATCAAGATGTACTGATAGAATGTCAATTAATTGGCTGTTGATGGCACTGAGTGAAAAAAACTGCACAGAGGGAAAAATCTCAATATTCGAAAGTTTTTTGAAATGTTGGGGATGACTTAATGATCTATGTCATATTTGATGATAATATCAACTCCTCTCTCGTTGTTCGTTATATTGCATTTTTTGATGCAGTAGACCTTAAATCTGCAGTCTTATCCTTGAGTTACAACAAAGTTTCTAACAAGCAGATAGCAGAAAGTTTCGACTTGAATTACCAATGAGAATAAAAATTTCGTCTGCTGCATTTTTGATAACAATCATATAAATTGACACAAAATTGACTCCAATTTAAAAAATTCACAACGAATGAACTGAGCTACTTCAACTGTTTTCTAGTATTGTTAAGGAGTTTGGTGTCAAAAAAACCCCTGCTTTTTTAAAATAAAACAAAACGAAATAAAAGTAAGCAAAAAGAAAAAATTCGAAGTTAGCAAAACACTAAATCAAGACCCAAACCACCATCTTAAGTTTTCTAATACAATTGCGAAAAAAGCAGTAATTATCACCCAGGAGAACATATCCGCTATTTAGACTTAAAGTCGAGATTTCTCAACTTCGTCTAGTTTGCTTTACAAATCACAAACTACTGGAATAATTATCAAATTATATGTGAATGAAAACTGAAGAAAAAAATCAGTTCTATTATCAGAAAAATGGCTGCCTTATCACAATTTTGACAAAAGCGCCAGTGAAATCATAGGCTCGTGTAATAGGTTTTTTAAAATTAGGAGATCTGTTTTAAGAATAAGGAGTAAAATCAGTTCTTTTGTTCTAGAAAAATAATTATCTTCACAACGTTTTTTCACAAATCCAATGGCTTGGACGATCTAATTATTTCTGTTTTTATTGATTTACGAAAGCAAACAAAACAAATTGACAACGCCAAAACAATCAGTTTTTTGAGTTGGGTCATGATTTTAAAGTTGACCTTACTCTCGGGTGACTTTTTGTGATAGCAAATATGTCTGTCTCCCTTCCTTGTTTATTTGATGGCAGTTTCAAATAGATGCGTTTTTTTTCCAATCGCGCTTTGTTGTTGACTTACAAACCTTTGTTGTCTTTGACCAGCACAAAAACCACACAGTTGTTCAAAACAGTGACCACTCCCGAATTTTTTTTATCGATGCTTCGATTCCCAGTTTGTGTTTGGATAATCGTTCACAATATTAAAAGATCATTGACTGCGAGATAATGTATCCGCATTACAAGGCCAAACTGTGTTTTTTTTAATTGCAAGCGGATTCCGCAATAAGGATGTTACCTTTGTTCTTCTTATGTTCTTTCGTTTTTTATCGTTCCGACAAAACTTTAACATGCTTAAAGATTTGTCGCTGGAATCCAGGAACAGAGAGACAGAAAATTGAGTGCCTATCACTGCACATTTTGGCCTCGTAATGCGTAACAAAGAACAGGATGAGCTTAAAAATCACACTTGGTTAGTTCTTTCCTTATTTTTACCGTGTGAGCTTCGACTCGTTTTTAAAGTGACATCACCCACGCTTAGAGCTTCAGAAGGCAGAATGCAAGTCTCAAGGATAATTGAAAAGAAAATTAAACCAATTTTCAGCCTAATATAATAATTTTCATATAGAACGTAATCAATTTCTCTGGTCGCTCAAAAATAGAATAAAAATCAGAAACTACAAATCGATTTTTCTCGTGACTCGGAGACCTTTTTGGAAGTTTTAATTAACGACTGAAATGGCATCAATGTGATATATCAATCCAGCTCGATGATTTATTTGATGTACCTGATTTTGCGTGGGGAAGAAAACTAAAACCAACTCAAAAACAAGGTTCCTCCGCATTATCAATGGTCTGAACAACAAGACTGCTCGTATCCGGACGAGGCCATGAATGTTCCCACTGCCTTTTAAGGTATATTGAGCAGTAACAACATGAAAAGTTTAAATGTAAAAAGGTAAAATATATTTGTTTATTTCAAGTTTTTTGCAAAAATCATCCAAAAGCCAATATAAATTTCAAACTGATAGATTTTGTTCCTAGTAGCGAATCAATTATGGCGAATAAGCTTCCTTAAACCAAATTGGAACGATTTCTAAGAAGGATTAAATCTCCAATTACGCGTTAATAGCGCGAAATGTCTCGCGCGTTAATTGTCCCAAATCGGCCAAAATGGCAATCTTTATACCCCCAAAACTTTACAAAAAATGATCACAGGCGAAAAATCTTTTCAAATTTAAGCTCAGGACAACAATGTCTTTTGATTGTTTTTTAAATTTTGCCACAAATGGCTAGTTAAAATGTC